TTGATGACGTTGATGTGAAAATGTTATTGACATGATATTGGTGAATTTGAAAGAAAAAAAAAGAGAATCTACAATGTGCATGAACCACGGAAAAAATAAAAGATGATGATGAAAATGGAGAAAAAAGTGAAAATTTTCAATTTTCAACTCATCATCATCATCATCATCAATATATAACCAGTTAGCAGTAGCGAGTCGGACCATTGTGGGTTTAATATCCTTTTTCCACATGATGCTATAAAATCCCTTCTTCATTGATTTTATAAGCGACTCAAAGAAGCCTCCACGGAATGGTGCGGCAGGCGTGTTGAATTTCCATTGAAATTTGTCTTTCAATACGGTGTATGCCTCATTAAACATGTTTCCGAGTCGTTTAAAGTTCGTTCCATTATCTGAATATACCGGACGGAATTTTCTATGGGTCAGCGAATTTCCGCGAAAGGCGTCACATACATTCGGGGGTCAGCATTTTTCCAATACTTTCGAAGTGCACCGCCCGTGTGACGCAACACGCGAATAATATCATTCCAATGGTTTTCGTCGTTTCAGTTCAAAATGTCCACCCGGATATGTTCAAAGGGATGACTTCTGTCCAATCGTACTAGGAGGATTACCAAGCGATACTTGTAATGGTTTGGTACGCACTGGCGACATTTTAGAAACATCGGTTTTTGATTTTATGAATTGTTGTCGCATAGCTGCTTGATGATGATCGTTTACATTTTCTTTTCCTTTTTCCTTTTCGCTCTCACACTCATTTATTCACCATCTTAATATTTTTTTTTTCACTCACTCTTTCCCTCACACACAAACAGGCCAAACAAAAGAATTGCTTGAATGGACTGGGAAGCGAAAAAAAATGGCGCAATTTTTTTTTCTCTTGCCCTTAAACGATGAATGAATGAATGAATGAATAAATAGAGAATGGAAAATAATAATGATGTGAAATCGATTATTTATTTATTTTTTTTTTTTTTTGAATGAAAACCAATGGTGGAAAGTCCTCTATATGTACCATTTGACGACCAGTGGCAGTTGGTCGGCATGCTGCTTAAGGTGTCCATGGCAACAGGTCTCAGATGGACTGGGAAGCGAAAAAAATGGCGCAATTTTTTTTTCTCTTGCCCTTAAACGATGAATGAATGAATGAATGAATAAATAGAGAATGGAAAATAATAATGATGTGAAATCGATTATTTATTTATTTTTTTTTGAATGAAAACCAATGGTGGAAAGTGAAAAAAAATAACTGGCAAAATTCTGTAATCTATTCTTCCATAGTGTAGCTTGTATACGCACGCATTTCAATAAGCATCAACGGATTTATGAATTTTCTTTTTGGTTTAATTCCATTTATTCATTATTTCAAATGGCAAAAAAAAGGTCACAATCAAATACGGTCATGTGGTCAATTTTTGAATATCTAATTTGATGATTTTTCTTATCATTGTTTCAAATGTTTCCAGTGAATCTTTTCATTTGTTGACCATCATCATCATCATCATCATCATCATCATTATGATCACCATCATTTGTTTGTTTCTGAATCAATAAATGCAGATGTTTTTTTTTATTGTTTGATTCTCCATATATATACAACACATGCATTTAAATGATTGAAAATTTGTATCTCTAAATGTCCAATTACATTTCATTTTATTTCATGTTTTTTTTGTTTATTTCTATCATTGTCATAGTATCACAGGCGTGGGTGGATGATTATGATTATCTTTTGTTTTTTGTTTTGGTCAAAAAAATGCAAGTTGATTGAACTTTCTCTCTCTCTGGCTGTTTTTGTGTGTGTGTGATTTCCATTTCCATCTTATTATTGAACATATATTTGAATATATATTCCATTGTCATTCACATTTGATTGTGATTTAAATTTTTTTGCTTTTACACATCTCTATTATATATAAAATCATTGTCCATCGAACATTGTTCATGTCAATGTTTTGCAACTAAATGTGTGCGTGTGTGTGTGTGTGTGTGTTTTCCGTTTGTAAAAGTTTATTTTTTCCTCGTTGATGAAAAGGAAGAAGAACAGTAAAAAGAAAAAACTCATCCATCACTTGCTATGGTTGTTGTTGTTGTTGTTGTTGTTGTTTAAAACGTGATAGAAGAAAAAAATGGCGACTTTAATTGCGTTCGAGCGGTCCACTACCATTTTTGTTTTTTATTTTACAAAAGAAAATTCTTAAAAATTCGAATTCAACACAACAACAACAACGACAACAATTTGAGTTTCATTTCATTTTCTTTTTGTTGAAAGAAAAAAAAACAACTCAAAAGTATTGGAAAATTTAATTACATTTTCAACAGTAACAACAACAACAACGATGATGATAAATTTCAAAAAAAAACGTAAATGAAAATCATAATGAAGAAAACTTTTTTGCTTTTCTTTTGTTTTTTTGTTTTTGTTTTACCCGTATTTACTGGTGAATTATTGGATTTTTTCTCTCTCTCTTTTTCATTTCAATTCAATTGTTTTTTTTTATCAAGTTTTCGTCGTCGTCGTCGTCGCCGTCGATGTTTGCTTTGAATCATTGAAAATCTGCTGTTGTCGTTTGATATATGTAATCATCAAACTGTCCTGGATACATAATGACTTTCATTTTTTTTTTTTTTTTTTTTGATCGGTCGATGTGTGGATTTTTAATTTTTGAAATTTTTTGTTTTCTATTTGCGCTTCAATAATTTTCATTATTGATTTTTTTTCCATAGAATGGTGGCCCCATTAGATTTTTTTGTTGTTTTTTTGTTTTGTTTTCCCGTTCATTTCATTTTGATTTTCGTTATTCTCTTCTCTTTCTCTCTCTCTCTCTCTCGACGACATTTTCACATCAAAGCAATTCATTTTCATTCCGTTTCTGGTGCTAGTGGTGGTGGTGGTCATCACAAACATCAGAATTACACCAATCGCTTGTTAGTAGCAAAAAAAATGTTTGTTTTTTTCTCATCATCTCAAATCTGAACCAAAAAAACCGAAAAAAAACCCAAAAAAAGTTAATGATCCATGTCTTTTAGCATTTGATAATTGTTTTATATATATTCTGATGACGTGCAAATAGTAGTCCTCTTTTCTATCGCATTCTGTTCACTATTTCCACACACACACACACACATCCATATTTGATCAATGTGTCTTGTTTCTCAATAACAAAAATGAAACGAAATTCAATGATTTAATTTCAAATAATTCATTTTTTTTTTTTTGTTTTTCATTTCATTTTCCAACAGAATAAACACACACGGTACTGGATAATTTTTTTTTTTTTTCACCATCATTTTCAATTTCGTTTTCTTTTCTTTATTCAACACACACTCTCGCACACACTGGAAATTTACATGATCATGATGATGATAATCATCTCTCTCTCTTTTTTTCTTCTTCTTTCCATGATGATGATTTCACAAAGATGATGATCTCTCCTTGGAGATTTGTTTTTGATGATGATGATGATGATGAAAGTTTCTGTGAAATTTTTTTTTTTATTCCAGAGAATAATCAAATAGCTGTTAAATTATCCACAAGATGTGTATATGTCGACCTTACCGATGTTTTTTTTTTAACCTCGACAAACACCAGAAAAAAAATCTTGTATGTTGTGTAATGCATGAATTTTTAATTTTTTTTTTTTTTTATAAAAAACACAACAAGACACACTATCTGTGTATCATTAAGTGTGTGTGTGTGTGTGTACACACTTGATGTGTTGGATCATTTATCACACACACACACACTCGACAGAATAACTTCTATATCTACTGTGTCACCTCTATCGACCAGCTACGAAAAAAGAGTTTTGTCATACTGTCTTTTTTTTTGTTTTGTTTCCGATAGCTAATATATAAATTGCCTTTCATCGTCTCTCAGTGTGTGTGTGTGTGTGTTTGTGTTTGATAATTAATTCACTCGTAGCTCTTTTTCATCATTAAGACTACTACTCCTCTCAATGTTTCATCATCAACAAAGAATTTTTTCTTTTGATGATGATGATGATAATTAATTAAGGCCATTCATTCGTTGATTTGTTTTTCTTTTGCCATTCTCATTCATTCATTCATTCATTCATTCATAAACCAGAAGAAGAAGATGAAAAGGCTTGTATCACACTCATACATACACACATTTATTTGATTGTTTTTTTTTTTGTTTGTTGAAATTACATTTCCTTTAGGGCTTCTTTTTTTCTGGAATATATGTGTGTGGGTGTTTTACAGATTTTTTTTTTTGGATTCTCAATTCCAATAACATACACACCCACACATTTCTTTTTATCTCTCTGAAAAGATGAAGAAAAATGCGTGTTTTTTTGCTTCTTTGTTCTCGTTTTCGTTGTTGTTGTTGTGTTGATTTTTTTTCTGGTCTTTTAGATTCCGGTTGGAATCCAGAATTTTTTTTTTTTTGATTCCAAGAATTTCATTCAAACAACATCAACAACAAAATGAAGATACAATCTTAGACTATTGATGATGATGATGATGATGATGATGAGAGGATTGTAGTGAAAAACCACTTTATCGTGTCTGTTTATGGTTCACTTGCCTATAAATGATGATGATGGAAGCAGAGATGACCAAAGAAAAAATTTTTTTTTTGCTGTCGTTAAGATGAAATGGATTTTTTTTTTGGAGTTTGTTTGTTTGTTTTCGTTTTTTTTTATTTTGATTCATCATTATTGCCTTATCATTACTGCCCCCACCCTATTACCCACTACTACTCCTACAATATTGGTTGGTTTTTTTTCTGTGATTTTTTCTTGGTAAACGCCAACATGGCCAGAAATACTTGGAAATGAAACGAAAAAAAGCGGAAGTACGGAAGTACCAGTAAGAGAGAGTGTGTGTACTGTACCCGTCGTCAAAACAGACGAATCATTTTCGTAGAGTTTCATTTTTTAACAATGTTTTTCTCCATCTAAATGATACACATGCACATTACTACGTCAAATAATGGCTTTAAAAACAATAAAACGCGAAACTCATTTAGACAATTCATTGAAATTGTTAAAAAACGAAAAACAAAATTGAAAAGATTTTTATGCAACAACATCATACAAGAATATACCCACACACACACACACACACACACACATCACCATAATATTCGTGTTTTAATTCGTTTTAAAAGTGTTGTTGTTGTCTTTGTTTTGGCACGTGTAACAATTGACCGTGTAGTTGCCATTTTTGTTGATGTATGTGTATTGTGATTGTTCGTGTTTTTTACTTTAATTCTAGTCATTATATTCGGAAGTTTGACAGTGGATCGTTGATATTTTGTCTTTACAATTGGTAAACGGCAATCGGCATTTGTAATGCTGCTGCTATTATCGTTTTTGTTGGCGGTAGGGGCCCTTGAAGCAATACATCGTAGATTATATGAATGCTTTGGAATAATTTTCTTTGTAATAGTCAATTTTGGTTTGATTTTTTTACTTTGAGCTTGATCATCATCAATCGATTGATGTTTTGTCTTAATCATCACTCTAGATTTGCAGATTGGAATTCGTGTTTTTATCGTTTTTTCTAACGATTTTTTCTTGTATGTTTTGTTGTTGTTGTTGTTGATGGTGGTGGTAGCGGTGCTGGTGGTGATAGGAGAATCATGATCATCAAGTAGGTTCAACATTTTTTGAAATTTTAATTTATTGGTCATCATCATATTTGTTGATGATGTTGATCGATTTGATGCTATTAACGGTGAAATTCCATCATTATCATCATCATCATCGTCATCGCCATCAGCAGCAGCAGCAGCATCAACGGTAGCTGCTATATTTCTATTATTACGTCTTAACCATTCACGACGAATTCTACCTTGAATATGTGGTGATAATAATAGAAATGAATGCAATGTAATTTTACCATCATTTATTGATTGTATAATTTCTTCATCTTTACGTGTTGCTGTTGTTTGTAATTGTATTTTTTTACTACCAACACCATTATGTACAATACGTTGATGTTTACAACGGCAACAAATATGACGACTTGGTGTATCTGTATCGGATATGGGTATAAATTTCATCGTCATTGATGATGATTTCATCATTTCTTTTTCATATTTTTCATTATTTTTCAAAATTGATTGTGGTGTTGATTTTTTTATCATTTGAAATTTTGTCAATTTTCGTAACACTTTTGTTCTCGTTCTGATCATAATTGATGGCTGACTACCACACACACACACACACACTACACAAACTTGTCTATACGAACGAATTTTATAGAAAAAAAAAACAAAAAATATTTTCAATGGCAAATTCGACAAAAAAAAACTCTGTTTTTCATACTTTTTTGTATTGATTGATAAAAAATTCAATTAATTAACAGCTCTGGTAACAATGACAAAAATTTTCGAGAATTTCCAATCAACCACACACTCTTTCTATTTCTACTTTATCGAAAAAAAAACCAAATCAAAAAGTGCAAGGTCATCATGATAAAATCTCGTTTTTTTTTCTTTGGATAATTCTAATTGTTGTCGATGACCAAAAAAAATGTGTCTATTTGCACAACACAGAAAAAACAGAATCCTAATGATTTTTTTGTTTCTTCGTTTGTTTAATCTTCATAAACGTGATCGTCTATTTTCCACATAGTGTGTGTATCATTGTAATTTTTTCGGTGTTTAGTTTGTTGTTGTTGTTGATCAAGTTTTTTCATTTTCATTTGTTTATTGCATTGTTCATTGGTTGAAATATGAATATTTTCAATGGATGAGAGAAAAAAAAACAAATGATAAATTACAAGAAAATTGTAATATGCAACAATAAATCTTTTTGACTTTGGTGGACACACTGTGAAATCACTATTGGCAAAATATTAAATGGTTATATCATCAGTTGATATTGTTTACCACACTCGATGAAAGATAACCAATCATCATCATCATCATCATCATCCACTTTACCAGAAAAAAATAGAATATGACAATAACAGGAATTGGCGTTGTTTGTCATTAAAATCAAAAAAAAATTTTCCACTCGACCGCTGATTTTACAGACACACACACAAAAAAAAATCAAAAGTCAGCTTCACCACAATGATTTTTTTTTGTTGTTGTTCCATTCGTTCATTTTTTCGGTGGTCGTAATCTTATTTTATCAGCCATAATTTAGCTTTTTTGTTCATTTAAAAATCTTATTCTTAATAACGTTTATCATCATCATCATCATTATTGTTTTAGCTGCGGTTTTGTCTTTATTTTTTTGTTTTGTTGTTGTTGTGAATCACTTACGTATGTATCATTAACTTTTGTTATTATTTTTTTCTCTCACGCGCATGCAAACAAGAATAATATAAAATTCTTGATTCCCATTGCATTGTTTTGATGATGATCATTGTAAATGTTTCCATTTCATCATCATCATCATCAATTTGTCTATTGTCTATTCCAAGAATGAAGAGAAAAAAAAATGAAATAAATTAATCACGGTCATGTACAAATCATCATCATCATCATATATCCATGGTAATCATTTTCACATTTTGTTGTCTTGTAGAGTGGCTGACCAGTGAAATAAAGAATAAAACAGTGAACGATACAATTTTCATTATGATTTTTTTATTTCTCTTTTGATGATGACGATGTAAAAGAAACAATTCGTGTGTGTGTCTGTTTGTGGGCAAAAGAATATAATTTCTAACTAATTCAAAATTCTGGTCGCGAATAAAATATTTTCACACTCACACTTCAACAGACAATGATGATTATAAAAAGGAAATGAATTTTGATTTCACTCTCTCTCTCTCTCTCTCTCAGTTGCCACCGCCCACTACCCCGCATTTACTTGTAATCAACCAAAAACAATGATGATCAAGTTGATGAGAAAATTGTGAATTTTTTGTTTGGCGCAATCCAAAAAAACCAATTGAAATTGTTGGATGATGACACCAAAAAAAAGTTACATTTTGATTTTCATTTTGATTTTTTTTTCAGAAAAAATTCCTGTTTCTTTGCAGATGTCAATTACAAGGAAATTTTAAATGAAAAAAAAACATGGATCGACAAAAGTCTATGATTTATTCGGGTCAATTTTCCAGGGAAATTTTCTTTTTTTTCATTGGTTATGTTTTCGAAAACTTTTTTTTTTTTTTGGTTGTTGTTTTTTTTCATGTCTGTCCATTTTGTCTTTGAAAATTGATTTTTTCTGTTTTTTCCGTGTTCATGTTTTCATTTTCACTCTCTCACTCTCTCATATCTTGTTCATTTCAATCTATAGACTAAATAAAGACAAGAAAACAAAACAAAAAAATTTTTTTTGAAGTAGAAAAAAAAGATTGTCTGTCCATTGATCAATATAGATGATGAAAAAGGGATGGACAAAATGTGAAAATTGCCATTTAGCTAGAAAAAAACAGCCGAAACATGTAACAACAACAACAACAACAATTGTCACGCATCAAATGAAGATGAACAGAGAAAAAAAATGAGTAAAATTGTTGTTGTTGTTGCTCGAAAATCTGTGAAAAAAAAATAAAGAGGTTGGGTTAAACTTGCTGCTGGAAAGAAAGAAAGACAAAAAAAAACTTTTCATTCAACCCATTGATGATGAGTGTGTTGTTTAGAATTTTTGATTGTCATATCATTTCAAATCAAGTAAAATGCAGCGATTAACGATAATGTCAATGGTAATAAAAAAAAACCACGGCAACGACGACCACCACTAAAACAACAACAACAACAACAACAACAAAATCATCATGATGGAACAATGGGGAAAAAAATTCTCTTTCTCACGCATTGGCCATACTTGTTTTTTTTTGTATTTGTTTGGCAGCAATTTTCTCATATTTTTTTATATGATATGAAAATGGAAAATTCCAAAGAAAAAAAAATTTTTTCACCATCTTGAATGTAAATGAATGATTATGATGATTATGGTTAAATAATGATTTAGTGCATACACACACACACACACACACACACACACACACACACACATGAAATGAGAATAACCGGATAATAATGAAATAAACTTTACCATCATCACCACCACCACACGAAAACGTTATTATCATCATGATGATGATGATAATAATAACGTGAAAGAAAAAAACAACAACAAAAAAAATTCGGTTAGCCTCGCTTTTTCAACCATGAAGATGAAAATAAATAAATAAGATTCTGGTAGTTTATTTCTTTTCGATAAAGAATTTTCTTCTGTTCCATATTTTACCTTGATCACACATTGATAAAGTCGTTTTTGTTGTTGATAACAGAATTTTTTTTGACTAAGTAAAGTATGATTTACTATTTGGCCAGGGTTAAAGGATTTAATGTTCAAATGAGTATGATGATGATGATGAATAATTACTATCAATGAAATGAAATTAATCATAATCATCCAAAATTCATAATTCTAGGAATCTAATCTATTTGTTCCATTCTCTAGCCCCTCCATCAGCCCCAAGAAAAAAAATTCTGATTTGTTAAAGGGGTAAATGAAATGAAATGAAATTTTTTTTTTCGTTCCATTCACAAATTATCTTCCAAGTGTGTGTGTGTGTGCGTTTGTATTTTCAGCTGCGTCTTTTTTTCTTTTTTTTTCTGTTTTTTTTTTGCATCGAAATGTTCAATTCTTCACCATAATCATCATGATTCAATTCACGATATGATTGTCTGGTGATTCTTTTTTCTCTCTGCAGAAAAAAAAATTCATCATTGGAAATCAGTATCTTTGAGATAGATCTATTTTTTACCCTGTTTGATGATTATTTTTCGATCTTTATATTTTCATCTTCTTCATCTTCATTCATTCGATGTTTGTGAATCATTTATCATTGGAATTATCGTCGTTGTTGTTGTTATGGTTATGGTTTGTATTTTTTTTTCTCTTAACTTCAGTAGTCTTTGGGTATTTTGTGATATATTGCATATTTCTCTATCTCTCTCTCTCTCTCTCCCCATACATGGTATTAACTGGTATTTTTTTTTTGTTTTCGTTGGTTATGCAATGCAGCGACATGCTGCTTCACTTGGACAATAAACGTGTCGATCATAGTTGATGCTTTGGTGGTGGTGGTGGTCAATTTTTTTTTATATATAGCAAGGTCCATCCAAATAACTTATTTGTCATAAAGTTTTTTTTTTTTACTTCATTCATTTTTCAATGTTATATAATTTCTTAAATGGAATTTTTTTTTTTATACATTGTTTTTCTGTTTTATTTCATTCCAAAAAAAAAGAAAAAGATTGCATTGGTGCGTGGGTGGCTGGGTGTATGATTGGAAATATAAATCATTTTTTTCAACCCCCCGTATATATACGATATGATGATGATGATGATGATTCGTTCATCTCTATCGATTGTGATAAGTTGGATTTCACACACAACATCTGGCCATTTTTTTTTGTTGTTGTTGTTTAAAATTTTACGAATTTACCAACGAAGTAGCAACGAACTATCTATCGATTTTTTTGGGATTAAAAAAAAAATTCTGATGATCCAAGCAAACCAGAAAAAAAATGAAAATAAATAAATCTTCTTGCATGTTCATGATGAATTCATGTTTTTTTGTTTTGTTTTGTTTGATTCGAATAATGTTTTCAATTACACATTCAATGGATTCATTTTCAAATTCAACAACAATGAAAATGGTCGGCATTTTTTTCATTCATTCATTTCTCGTTTTCATTGTCAATCACTTGGTGCATTTTTTTTGTTTTGTTTTGTTTTAGTCCTATTCAATATAATGTGAGCAGAGAAAACAACGAATCATGAATGACCATTGATATTGTTTGTTTGTTGATGATGATGATGATGATGATGCAATGAAATGATTATGGCTGACATATGAATGACAATAGTAATTTTATTTCTTTTTTTGTTGTTGTTGTTGTTGTTTTTTATATGTTGGCCAATATTTCATTTGCAAATTCACATCATTTTGGTAACATTTGGCTCATCTGTTTCATTTTTTTTTATCTGTTGTATATAAATCATCAACAACAACGACGACGACGACGACAACAACAACAGCATTATTATCAGCTTTAGGGAATTGATTCATATTTGTTTGTGAAATCTTGGTACATTTTTGATGAAATGAATTTTGAATTGAATCGGAGTGATCCCCTCCCCAAAAAAAAATTGAACACACACACACTCGTAGCAATTTTAATATGAATCAAAATTGTTTTTTTTTGTTTGTCTGAAAGTTGAAGGAACTTGGAATAAATAAATATAAATATGTAGTTTGTAAATAGCCA